TATTAAGTCCCGTCTGTTTCCCAGCACTGCTTTCGGAGTGTTAGATATGTTACCCATATGCATGTGTAGCGAAGTAGAGATATCTCCCTTTAAACCAGGCAATCCCCACACCCCTCTCTCTTTCTCTTTCTCTCTCTCCCTCTCTCTCTCTCTCTTTTATTGCATCATCCTCTCTACTGGAGGTCAGCAAACTACAGTGAGATGATAACCTCTCTCTCTCTCTCTCTCTCTTTCTCTTTCCCTCTCCTATTTCATCATCTTTCTTCCTAACTGAGGTCAGCGAACTACAGTGAGATGATACCTGGTCATTTTCCACTGGTCCAAAGATTCCAAGAATAGGATGTTAGTAGACAAAGCCCATATTCAACCAGTGTTTGTGTTGACTGATTATGAACAGGCAAATAGTGGGAAACAGGCAAATAAATTATCCCTCTACAAATACCAGTTTGGGTTGGAAGACAAGACATTTGTTTTCTGAGTAAAGGAGCTGAGTCACCAAAGAAAGTAGTAGCAGGAATATCCCCAACTGACCAATGAGCATTTGTATTTTTTACTCCTTCCCCTTATTTTTACTTTTGCCCAATCATAATGTTAGGATTAATGGTTTAGGAACACTGTTTGAGTGTCCATCGAGTATTATGCCCGCCCAGTCACCTACAGTAATAATAATGAAATAGTTAAGTTTAGGGTAAGAATATTTTGTAGGAGGAGATCTCGATATTGAGATTGTGAATATGTAATTAGGTATAAAACCCCCATCCCCTGCATGAAATCCTCACTTGGAACCCCATCACTTGGAAACCCCCACCTGGAACCTCCTCATCCGAAGCCCTTCTCCTGCTAATACATTTTTAATAATCATCAGTGCTTCAAATATCCAGTATACAACATACTTCAAGGTTTGGACTTTGGAGAAATATCAGCGAGTAACAGTGTAGACACTTCGAGAGGTTGAGGAAATTCTGAAATACACCTTCCGTATTTTAAAGTCAACTCAATGTCAACTTCGGCTCAAGGCATTTGGGAAAGTGTCTGTTCCACGCTATAAAAGAACTGTATCCAGTTTAGTACAAAGTCACGTCCAGCTTCGTTCCCGTACCCGTCAAGTTCCAGTCCCGCCAAGTCAAGTCCAGCTTCGTTCCTGCCATATCCTGTCCAGCTTTGTTCCCGCCAAGTCAAGTTCCTCCAAGTCAAGTTCCTCCAAGTCAAGTTCCTCCAAGTCAAGTTTCTCCAAGTCTCGTCCAAGTTCGTCCCAGTTGCATCCCGTTCCAAGTCAAGTCCGCGATCGAAATATCAGCGAGCTAAGTGGCCATAATTACTAACTTCATTTCCATTAACCTATCCCTTCCCTTCCCCATTAGACTGTAACTAATTAAGTAAGAATTAAGTCGCCCTTTAACTTTTAAGAATACTTTGCAATTATATTTATTGCAACATTTATATACAAATTGTATTATTTTTATTATTCTGATTTGATGGATGAGATTTGTCATTCATATTAATTAAATAATTACCAAGTGGCATCGTAATTCAAATCGTGTCCAAGCACTTTATTTCTGGATTTGTTTCTTTGTATTTTATATTTTAATAATATAATATCATACACTGATACAGTGGTCTATTTGAGACTAACCCCACCCCTGAGTGAAAGTCATATAGCTAGCGGACCAATCCAAAAACCTGATTTCACTCGGAGCTCGATTCTATTAGTTCATCATAATAGAAGACGGCGTGGCGTGGCCGTTAGACGGAACCCACGACTTTTCGCGTTATCAGCACGACTGCTCTAGTAGGATTTTGGTTTTAAATATTTCAAAACGCTGTAACGCTCCCAAAATAGTTTGATAAAAGACAGGTTTGATGCTAAGTCCCTGTCAGTAAAAGTGCTTGTATATGTAGTGTTTTAGTTTTGTAAAGAGTTGGTCAATTTCATACTTTTGCCTTGTTTGTGAAGTAGCCATGAGCATAATGAGTTGCATTTTTCTTTTTATGTTGGTGTCTGTGAATCTGTTTGGCATGCCTCTGGTTGACAAACTTAGTTGTCAGCTGTGTGAGTGTGGACGAGATGATGACAATGAACAAGATGACATACCGGTAATAGTTGACAGGTGTATTTTGAAGAATTTAAAACGTTCTGTATTTCCAAGCAGAGCCAAAATTAAGATTTGAAATGTCCCCATTCGGCTAGATTTTAACATGCACTGACCTATCCTTTCTTTTTTGTTGTTGATTTATTTAAGGTAATTTAAATATGTTGTAGTAACATGGCAATTCCAAAAGTTTTCAAGTACAATGATATTTTTTTCTTCCTGTAAGTAACGTGTAAGTCTTTTTTTCTTTAAACCCGAGTAATTCATCATAGTATTGTCAGAGATCAGGGATTTTTAATTGTGTCAGGGAGAAGGAATTATTGTTTTAAGTTGCGCAAATAATTTTTTGTTTTGAGGAGTGCAGGAGGGTACTCGCTCTGACTTATTTATATTTTAAGTTGATAGGAAGAAATATTTTTAGTGAAGACATGATAGTTTGCTACTACCAAATTAAAGATTTCGGGTATTGTTGTGATTGAGGTTATCATAGGTAATGAGACAGAAAGTATAAGAAGGCTTAGAGAAGTGGACCTAAGAAAGATGTGCGAGAAGATTTTCATTAAATTAGATGTAGCATTTAAGTTCCAGTTAGGGTGGAGTTCTGGGAACTGCCACGTATTCCCCTTATCAATAGCTCATTGCTGGCTTAGTTTCTGTTCCGAAATAAGTCGTAAATAGGCATGATGCCGATAAGGTAGGAGTAGACTGTTTTAAAGTAGTTTAGTATTGGAGCTGGAGATCATCATGTTGCGGTTAGTCTAAAGAAAGATAACTTTGCGCATGGATGAGGTTTTTTTGAATAGTTTTGTTAATATTTTCTTGAGGAAAATATTGAGATGCTGCCTTTGTAGGAGCATCCTGATCGTATATATTTTTTTATGTGTAGTTGGAAGTCTGATCGGATGTTTTAAAGTGGTCCACCGTTGCTTTGCCTTTTGTGCTTAAGTTTCTAGCCTGCTAGTTGCTGATATCACTTTTTAGAGATTTTTTTTTTTTACGAGTAAAATTAAAAGTATTTTTGTTTTAAAGAAAATAGTTAGATATGAATTTTGGTAGGGATAAGAGAATTTTTTGATAGAGAATAGATTTAATTTGCCATTTTGTTACTTCAGCATATGCAACTGTTAAATATCAGAAACATTCGGATTTTGATTTTTTTTTTAAAGGTTGGAGATAACTAACCCAGGCCCTATTTATAAATAGCGATGATTATGAAGTAATTGCAAGGACTGTCCCATAGAAAAATGATAAGGTAGATGACGTGATCCCGAGGTTAGGTATTATTTAGCAACTTGAACTAGATGATGAGGATGAGTAGTGATAATTTTTGTTGATGTTGTTTTTTGTTAATGATGATGAAGTGGAAGGTGATGTTACCCCATCCCCTACCCGTCCGTGTGAGTAGCAATAGGCCGCCTCAATTGAAGAGGAGGACTGCCCCCCGAGACAGTCACAAAGATGCCCGCGCCCACCGGATAAACTTATCTATCAAAGTCAAATTGTGCAACAAGTTATGTTTAGGCGTTATGTTTTGTGTAGAATTGTGTTGCTGCTTTGGGTGAAAAAGGTGTTGTTGTTGTTGTCCCCACTTACTTAGATTATAGTGTGTGCCAAGAGGTTATCACTTTAATTTTATGTGAAGGTTAAGATGTTTCCATTAAATATGAGGTTTATTGGGACATAATTTGTTTATTTTGTATTTCATGGTTAGTGACCATTAGCTTGGCTTTATTGCAAGCTCTAGGCACTGAACTGACATTTATGCATCGGATCGGAATGCATGATGGAACCCTATAGTGTTTGTGGAAATTGCCTGACACGAGTTGCTTAATTTTTTAAATTTTTGTTTGTAGTAAATGTAGAAAATTATTTTAATTTTATTATTATTGAAGGAAAGATAGGATGTCGGAGCATCATTAGGGATAGTTCGGAGGGAAGCGTCACTCGCACTTAATCGCTTGTGCATGCAACCTAGTATGTCGAGAAGTCATGTATTGGAGTACATGTACAATTAATTAAATGAGTATAATTTTTGTTGATAACATTGCCGGTGGTCATTGGCTTGGCTTCGCGCGAGCTCTAGACGCCGTCATGGTGTGCCCAATTGGGGATTGCATAATATTGTGTATGGTTGGGAGTTCAACAGACACCCGACAGCTTGATCATTTTAGTTTTATGTTTGTATTCCATAGTAATTGGATCGGGGTAATGTTATTTACATTGACCACAGTGCGTTCGGAAAGCTATGAAGTTTATTGTATCACCTTTTTCTCTTTCTTCTACTATCCTTCTCCTCTTTTTGTAGTTTATGTTTTACGTAGCTAAGCGGTGTATTAATTAAAGGAATATTAAACAGTTGTACCAGGACTGAGGCGACAGTTGTGGATTTGGTTAATCATTTGAGACATTTGGTTGATTGGTAGGGAAGAAATAGTAAAATAAATGTAGTTCTTATTATACATTGGGTATCTTTGCACTAATAGATACAGTCATAAATGATGTATACTATTATATATTGTACTTTGATACAATATCGCTTGATTTAATTCTGTTTGGGAATCTGAGGATATACCGACATGGTATTGTTTTGTGTAATTATTTGCATTCTAGACATGCATTTGATTTATTTTAAGTTTGCACTGACATTTTTATAGATGGATTTGTAGAGATGGAGTTTAATCTCTGTTGTTATGTAATAGGACATGAATTGTGTGCATAGGATACTTTGGTCATAAAGTAAAATTGTGTTATATGCTATTGCCTTCATATCTTGTATTATGAGCGCAGTAGGCATCAATTGAGTGTTGTAGTAGTATTTTAGATGTCATTTGGTAAACCCTAAGTTTTTAGGAAAGACAATTGTACTTATTAGTCCTGAGATAAATGGTGGTGTGTTTTTTTATATTCCTATTTGGGGAATGGCGAGGTCGCCATTCAAGTGGCCAAGGGGAAGATGTAGCGAAGTAGAGATATCTCCCTTTAAACCAGGCAATCCCCACACCCCTCTCTCTTTCTCTTTCTCTCTCTCCCTCTCTCTCTCTCTCTTTTATTGCATCATCCTCTCTACTGGAGGTCAGCAAACTACAGTGAGATGATAACCTCTCTCTCTCTCTCTCTCTCTTTCTCTTTCCCTCTCCTATTTCATCATCTTTCTTCCTAACTGAGGTCAGCGAACTACAGTGAGATGATACCTGGTCATTTTCCACTGGTCCAAAGATTCCAAGAATAGGATGTTAGTAGACAAAGCCCATATTCAACCAGTGTTTGTGTTGACTGATTATGAACAGGCAAATAGTGGGAAACAGGCAAATAAATTATCCCTCTACAAATACCAGTTTGGGTTGGAAGACAAGACATTTGTTTTCTGAGTAAAGGAGCTGAGTCACCAAAGAAAGTAGTAGCAGGAATATCCCCAACTGACCAATGAGCATTTGTATTTTTTACTCCTTCCCCTTATTTTTACTTTTGCCCAATCATAATGTTAGGATTAATGGTTTAGGAACACTGTTTGAGTGTCCATCGAGTATTATGCCCGCCCAGTCACCTACAGTAATAATAATGAAATAGTTAAGTTTAGGGTAAGAATATTTTGTAGGAGGAGATCTCGATATTGAGATTGTGAATATGTAATTAGGTATAAAACCCCCATCCCCTGCATGAAATCCTCACTTGGAACCCCATCACTTGGAAACCCCCACCTGGAACCTCCTCATCCGAAGCCCTTCTCCTGCTAATACATTTTTAATAATCATCAGTGCTTCAAATATCCAGTATACAACATACTTCAAGGTTTGGACTTTGGAGAAATATCAGCGAGTAACAGTGTAGACACTTCGAGAGGTTGAGGAAATTCTGAAATACACCTTCCGTATTTTAAAGTCAACTCAATGTCAACTTCGGCTCAAGGCATTTGGGAAAGTGTCTGTTCCACGCTATAAAAGAACTGTATCCAGTTTAGTACAAAGTCACGTCCAGCTTCGTTCCCGTACCCGTCAAGTTCCAGTCCCGCCAAGTCAAGTCCAGCTTCGTTCCTGCCATATCCTGTCCAGCTTTGTTCCCGCCAAGTCAAGTTCCTCCAAGTCAAGTTCCTCCAAGTCAAGTTCCTCCAAGTCAAGTTTCTCCAAGTCTCGTCCAAGTTCGTCCCAGTTGCATCCCGTTCCAAGTCAAGTCCGCGATCGAAATATCAGCGAGCTAAGTGGCCATAATTACTAACTTCATTTCCATTAACCTATCCCTTCCCTTCCCCATTAGACTGTAACTAATTAAGTAAGAATTAAGTCGCCCTTTAACTTTTAAGAATACTTTGCAATTATATTTATTGCAACATTTATATACAAATTGTATTATTTTTATTATTCTGATTTGATGGATGAGATTTGTCATTCATATTAATTAAATAATTACCAAGTGGCATCGTAATTCAAATCGTGTCCAAGCACTTTATTTCTGGATTTGTTTCTTTGTATTTTATATTTTAATAATATAATATCATACACTGATACAGTGGTCTATTTGAGACTAACCCCACCCCTGAGTGAAAGTCATATAGCTAGCGGACCAATCCAAAAACCTGATTTCACTCGGAGCTCGATTCTATTAGTTCATCATAATAGAAGACGGCGTGGCGTGGCCGTTAGACATGGTATCTCCATCTTTTGTTAACACAAGACTACATCCTTGGTCATCCCTTTATCTCGTTTTCTACCCATGTTCTCTAATGTTCCCCTAATCCCACTATCTCCTCTTCTTCACTCGCTCACACCCTTCCTAATCCTCTATCCCGTCTTCCTCTCCTTTCCGTATCCGACACCCCGTTCGTCCTCTCCCCTTACTCTGAGGTCATCCATAATCTCATCTATTTTCTCCCCCTTGGTCTCCCTCAACTCATCCTCATTTCCCTCTCCTTCTCTCGTGTTCTTTCTGTTCCACTATCCTCTCTCCTACCCTTTATATCATGTTTCCCCTATACTTTCATTTCCAGTCTTCTCCCTTTCCACTCTTTCTCTCCTCTCCACTCTTTCTCTTCTCTAGCTCCTTCAAATGCGTTCTAATTTATCTCCTCTTCATCTTCTCCCAAGTTCACTTTATTTTAAATCATCTCTTTCTCTCATCTTACTAAACACCTCTATATTCCTTCACTCTCATGTATTCTTCCAAACCCCCTCATCTAGGCTCCTCCTCTCTCCTTGCCTGATATGTTCATGTCCTCTCCCCTCCCTTTACTCAGGTCCTCCCTAGTATTATGGCATCTCTTCCTCTCCATCCCTCTTAACGTTATTCCTTACATTCTCTCTTATCTCCTCATTCCCCCCTCTTCCTTCTCTTTTATTTATCTTTTCCATCTTTTCATTCCATGCCAACATACAATCATACTTACTTCTTTCATACAATGATATCACCTCAGATATCATCTAAGAACAAGAGGGGTGTGGACTCAACACAAAGTGACATGAATTAACACCCTTATAGCACTCAATGGATGGATATCACCTGTATATTGATCATCTACACAAGGCTTACAACATAAAGAACAACAAAACGTCATTTTGTCTGCACCACTACACACAGCTAATGGCTTTAATGATAAAGGTATATGTTTGAATACAAAACAATTAACTTCCTAAAAAATGTACAAGAATCTAATCTTAATTACATAATATAAAATATCTAAGCCCTTCTAAAGTACAAACGTAAGATATATAAATTTGTTGTTTTAGTTGTATGGCGTGTATCATTCAATTATGAATACTTACACTATAAAAGTGTGTTGTTTGTCGTTTTTTAACATGTCTACTTAAATCGGTTTGTTTTCTGAAATCTGAATCAATACAGAATTGATTTTTTAAAACCACACATGTATTACACACATAATGATATGGCTATAAAAGAACTGCAAAGTGCAATTAGGGTTTGTCACAGAGAAAAAAAGTCCCTTCCACTTGTCGAAAAGGAAATACCCAATCCAAAGTGTTGCAACAATCATGAGAATATAAACATCGTAAAATCACATCAGCTGCATAATATAAGAAAAGAAGCAAATTTAAAGCTAAATCATATTGCTGCAAAAACACACACAAATTTCGATGCGATGGTTAATCATTGAATTTTTGTAACTTTTTTTGTAAAAACTTATTATTTGTTTATACTTACTTTTTAATAAACACTCCACTACAATCCTCCATGTCTTTTTAATTAATTAAAAGAATACCCCTGTTAAATCTGACCAATTTTCCAAATGCTTTTAAGCATTATAAAACTTTGTATAATTGTAATAATCAATTTTGCAATCAATAGTAGTTAGATTAAAACAAATCACACACGTAATATAAATAGAACTAAGGCAAAGTCAATACAAAAATAACAGCTGTAAATTTGAAAATAAAGGCTAAGAATACATAAGTTATATGATAAGAGTTGAGTATACAAATGAGTAAATATACACATAAATAATTATACAAAATACATGACAATTGCAGCTAGAATTGGAATGCTAGACCTAGATAACACACAAATCACATGGAGGGAAACTGATCTACGGAGATATATATTATAATGTTAATCTACTACAATACAAAAATTGTACAAAATGAAATACAAATTGAAAAGTACTTGATTAACCTTTACATAGCTTACTGGTGAATAAAAACGTAACATAAACTGAAATGACTCAAGTCTTGGAGTTGTATTACAACAGGAGATTCTTGATTAGATAATACATGTAGGTATATAGTTTAAAGCACTATTGTAATAACTATAAGAAAAGCAAATAAAATATAACATGTAGAATTAAAAACATATTGAATATATGTAAACTGTAATTAAAATACAGTTGAAATGGGAAATATTTTAGAATTTATAGGGTTACAGTGCCCAACTTGTGGTTCTTTGAAATTTGTACGGACTTAGTCAATTTTAAATGTTTTATTAACGACCTACCGGTAGTCATTATGCCCCTCCTCACACATCAATAATGATCTCTTTTTGAACATTATTAATGTATGATCCTAGTCAGAGTAGTGAAGATGTATAATTTTAAATAGCAAGCTAGCACATTTTAGCACCCAGAAGCTCAGCCAAGCACCAAGAAGCAAAAGGCACACCATCTATGATATACTGTCTGTTTGGAGCCAGAAGGATGTAAGGTAAAGTGAGACGAGTTAACAACCTTCTGCCTCTCAGCAAATAGGATCATTACTAGCAGCTTAATGAAAGGAAAAACTATAGCATGGCAAGATGTTACTTTCTCTAAAGTTCAAGTAACATATTCAAATAAGCTCTGACATTTCCAGCACCTCAATTGGACAGAGGAAATGCCAAATTCACGGCAAGATTAATAAAAGGACTATGCGTAGGATATTGTAATATTTATCCGCCAGATGTAAAAGACACATCTTATCTGTCTCAGGTTACATACACCATGGCTGCTCAGTCTGAAGTTAGCATGCTACACACTGCCTGTGTGTCACGCACTGCAAACTCAAACCATTTTGCCCAAGACGAAGAAGAAGAAGAAGGAGGAAAAAGATGGAGAAATCTCTAATTATTGATTGCAACGTAGGATGCCAATCAGTGCTTACCATCTCTCTCTCTCTGCTTCTCCAACAAAATAATTCTTGGAAGTAATTGTTGGACTGGCGTAATATGAGAAGCCCCAGCGTACTTGTTCCAGTGTCAATTTCTCTTTCTCTTTCTTCATCAATATATTTTCTACAAGTGCCTGGGGCCAACCTGATTAACAAGTTCTCAATCATTTTTCTCTATTTCTATCTTTATCATCATACTCACAATTCACTCTCAGTTACACAAGAGACCTGGTATATCTAATAAATTACATTATGGTACACTATTTGGATGATTATCGAAGCCACTTGCTTCAAAGAAAAGTATAATCAAAATCCACTTATGCAACTAGGAGATTTTACAGCACATGTGGCCTACACAGGTTTTATAATTGGTAAAATTAGTTTTGCCAATTATAAAATTCAGTGGCATTTTACAACTCACTACATGTGATTATTGTAGTGTCTGATACTCACTACATTTCAAGATTTTAAATTTTTAGTGCCTATAAAAAGAATATCATATGATTTTAATAAAGTAAACAAAAATGACCTAAAACATACAACATACTTTAGTCTTCCAAATAGCTTTGAATAGTATGAAAAGTCCCCCTACATGACCATGTCATATAAACAGTTCAAGTTCAACTGAACCAAACATCCTCCAATCAATCTCAAAGTAAGGATTGCTCTTTTCTTATGAGTCGTGTTGGACAGAGATTTCTTCATATTATTCTGCAAATGAAAACAAAACAAACTATATAATTATTCATTGTTCTTTCACACAGTTTCAGAAAAACACTTCATGTGAATGTTATAAAAATGCAAAAATATAAGGATACATAACTCATAAGCAATTCTTTCAAGTAAAAAAGTATCGGATATACACATTTAGGTGGTTAATATTGGACTAAAACTAGGATGAAACACAAGGTATCACAAATCATTGAAATTCAAGGTATACTCTTATCCAAAGTCACTAAGTGAGTATATATCTATCTTATCAGAGTAAGATTGGTTATAATATTAATTTCATTTATATAAAAGGTAGCAGATGAAGCAGCTAATGAATATCATAATATGGAGCTTTATGAGACAACAACACTGCCAACCATAGACCAAGGTGAACAACCATTCAAAAATGATATACATGTACATCTTACCAAACATATCATTCAAAATGTCATGAATGAGGTATTGAATCGTCCTCAATTCACACTGCTTAAAAATTCAATTCTTAAAGAAATTAGTTGAAAAGTGGTGAAAACCCAACAAAAAACAAACCCATATGAAGACAAAAATAGCTTGAGATATATCTTTCAGGTTGTAATTTTCCGCTTTTTAACACTATTGAATGCATAACAAAATTTTCTCAATAAGCAGTGAATCTATATGTACTCTGGCTGCATATATAATAATCATTGTGAGAGTATCTATAAAAGAAAGATATACCAAGCTGAGGTCACTATTGAAAACTTAAATCAAGGGCAATATGTTTAAATAGGAATAATATGAATAATAGCAACGTGCACTGCAAATAAGATGAAGTAAAACCTGGTAGCTTGTCACTCTGTGTATGGTAAGCATTAATTGCCTTATAACATTGATTATTGAGTACAAGGCCAACTAATATATGATGTCTCAATATTGCTCAAAGGCCATACTCGGGGAGAAACACAGAAAAACTCTTCCAAAAAACGATTTTCAAGAAATGAAATTGTAGTTAGCCTCTCTCAGGT